TATCCGTATAGGGTTCAAGATAAAAAGAAAAAGAGAATGACTAGCTATAGTATGTATGGTAAGCATTCTAAGGGTATTGATAGCCGTGAAGAACCTGTCAAATTTGTTCACAAAGAGGTTAGAGAACATATTACAAGGTATTTCATATTGTCTGAGTTACCTTTTCGACGTATGGAAAATGAAGGTTTTCAATGTTATACGAGGTATCTTTCCCAAAAATTGTATTTCCTACAAGGATGGCATTGGCAAGGGATATATATAATTTGTTTCTAAATGAGAAGAAGAAATTGAAGAAATAGTAGGGTCAACATAGAGTGTGTTTGATTACTGATTGTTGGACGTCAATACAGAATGTTAGTTATTTGTGTTTAACTGCTTATTGGATTGATAATGATGGGAGACTTCAAAAAAGTATTATAAGTTTCATTATGTCCCAAGCCATAAGGGAGATATGATTGGAAAGGAGATGATTTCTTATCATAAAGATTGGCAAATCAACAAGATTTTTTGTGTGACTGTTGATAATGCCTCCTCCAATGATGTAGCATTACTTCTCTTGAAGAGTTTTTTGATGAGAAGAAAGGCCTAGAATTGGGGGGAGAGAAATGCTTCTTATGAGGTGTTGAGTTTTTATATACTCAATCTTATTGTTTGTGATGACTTGAAAAAAATAAGTTATGCTATTTCAACTATTCCTAATGCGATGAGGTTTGTTAGAACTTTCCTACAAGGACTAAAAAGGTTCAAGGAGAGTTGCAAGGAATAAAATATTGAGTCCTGAGCTTTGTTGTGTTTGGATGTCACAATTAGATGGAATTTCACATACTTGATGTTGGAAGCTGCTATGACGTTTGAAAAAAGCATTTGTTGTTCTGAAAAAGCAATGGAAACTATACAAACTATTTTAATGAAGACAAATCTGATGGAAGATATATGAATGGACCACCAACACGTGTCGATTGGGATCAAACAAAAGTATTTGTTAAGTTCCTGAGAACTTTCTATGAAATGACTTTAAAATTTAGTGGTTTGAAGTATATAATGTCTAACTATTTCTTTAAAGAAATATACGAAATTCATGGAGAGTTGAATGAATTAGCTAAAGAGCTTAACACTTTGATTGATTCATGGCAATTAGTGTGCAAAAAAACATATGATAAGTATTGAGGCAATGTTGGAAAGTTTAATTAATTATTGTTCACTGCAATAGTTCTTGACCCAAGATGCAAGTTGGAACTTCTTAAAGTCGGGTTTGAACTTATTTAAAATGTATTGCAAAAATCTTGTTAAAAAAGTTGAAGAGACACTCCACAAGTTGTATGTATGCTATCAAGAAATGGTGACTCCAATCACTCCACTGTCAGCTTCATCAAGGGAGACTACCAAAAGTAGTAACACAAGTCATTCACAACCTATTTTAGGTCTTTCTAAACCCATTTCTTCTAGTTTTAAAGCTAGATTTATGTAAAATATGCAATCTGAAAAGAATGATTTGGTTTATTATTTGTCCAATCGTTGTGAAGATTTGACCGATCTCAATTTTAATGTATTACTTTGGTGGAAATTGAATGGGCACAAATACAAAATTATCTCCCAAATTGCCAAAGATGTATTAACAATTCAAATATCCACTGTTGCTTCAAAGTCGACATTTTTCACGAGTGGTTGAATTCTTGATTCCTTTAGGAGGTCATTGAGTGCAAAGATGGTTGATGCCTTAATATTCACAAAGAATGGTTGCATAGCAGCAAAAAACTTTTAGTGCTTCATCAATATTTGAATGAGGTTGACGCATTGGATGACTCAGAGAAAGTTAAAGAAGGTGACATTTATTTTCTATTATCAATTTTTGGTATTTTTATGCATGTTATTTTTTAATTGCTTGTCAATATAATTAATAAGAATTAATAAATATTTTAATATTTATATATTATACAAAGGTCGAATCATGTGTTACAACAGAGGATATTGATCCAATTAATATCAAATGAGAGGTTAGAACGTGTTTTGAATTCCAGATAAATATGAATGTAATTTAACATTTAATACTATTAGTTCTCGTTTAAACTTATATGTTAACTTGCTTTCAATATATTACTATAATTTCGATAGATAAACCGTGAATTAAAATCAAACCAAACCGCAAATAACGCTTTGGTTTGAAAAAAAAAAATATTGTTTGGAAAAATTTCAAACCGCTTCATATGATTTGACTTGAAAATATTGTACAAACCGCCCAAATCGAATCGCGTTCAGCCCTAGGCTCAAGGGTCATATTGTCTGTTGTTACCCCTAACTTACGGGTAGAACGGCCAACATGACACCAAAAAACTGATACATAGCTTCAATTCAATTGATTCAAATGCTTGTTACTTGTGCATGCCTGAAGATGCATTTGTGCTGAGTTCAAATTGTGAAAACACGATATATTTTTTCTCCAACAAAAGAACTAACATTTTTTGAGTTCTAGGATGCGGTGAAGGCTCTGTTTGAGCCACATTTTGTGAAAAAAATAAATTTAGTTTTACGATAATATTTTTTTGGAAAATGTGTGATTCAAAAGTAAGGAAAAATATTGAATTTAAAATTATTTTATTGAAAAAAATGTGTAAATAAAAATAAGTTTAATGAAAAATGAGTTTCTAAAGAATAGAGCTCAAAACGTAGTGTCCAGCACTGTAAAGTCTTTCTTTATCCTCCAGCACTACTAAATGTCGGATGTATTGAAAAGTTCAAAGAAAGCAGACTGGCCACAGAGCTTGGATACTAATAAATTCCAGGAGGGAAAGAGATTGAATCAGAAATTATTAGACGAAAATTTAACAGACAGGAAAACAAATTATAGACCTGCTGTAATGCAGCAGGGAAGAAGATGAACTTTATTCATACTTGCTTAAGGAAATTACAAGGCAACTAATCTATTTATAGAGAAAAACTAACAACTTATCTAACAAACTAACAAGATAACAAACATAAGAACAATCTAGAAGAAACTAGAATAAGATGGAAGAAGGTGCTGCTGTTGAACTTGTGCTGATGGCTGTAAACTGGAGAGATGGTTGAAGTTAACTGGAGAGATGGTTTGCTGTGAACTGGACTGAATCTGCACGTGATTTGCTGTGGCTTAAATGCTATTTTCATATATTCCAACACTCCCCCCTCAAGATGAAACATCTTGAACCGTAGAGAAGGAGATTAAAGATGCAATCAAGGAGCATCTTGTTTCGAGAATCAATATCAGTTTCTTCAATTCCAATTTCATTTGAGATAATGGAGTTTTGTGATCAGGAGACACCTCGTCTTCCTTTTCATGGTTAATCTTCATTTTCTCTTTGAGAAGGAATATTTTCAAAATCTTCATATCTTCAATTTAGAAGATAAAATCAATCGTTTTGAGAAGCTGCAATTTCGATTTTGATTCCCTATCTGGGAATAAATCATTCATTTTGTGAAGATCTTGAGAAGCCTGCCATTCACAGGAGGTTCTATCTTCATTTTCGATTTCAATTTCATTTTCCTTCATGTTCTGTTATTGCTGGTTCTATTTCTGCTGCTGGTGCGGAGCTGGTGTTCATCTCATGTCCATTCCGACATTTCGTCGAACACTTAGTGAGCCCCGTCACTATCCTGTTTTGTTTAACAAATTGAAGTCTCCTCTGAACTTGTAACATCCAGACATTCGCATCCAGATCCATACACCTATCTGAATCCGTATCCAGTCCCACATTCTGCAATAACTTTGAGTTCTCATTTATTTTTCCCTCTCTCTTCCTCAAGAATCGGACTAAGAGCAGGAGAGAAAACAAATGGAATTCTAGATTCTGTTTATTTTTGCATAGTGATAATTACCACGGTTGGATATGGTATTATCGTCATTCACACAAGCAAGCCTGATCTGCAGTTAAACTTACTGTTTGGCTATTTGCACCTCAATCGGAAGTCTTGACTATGGCATTTCTGGAAGCAGGAATAAGGTTCGGAAATGAAGGTGAAATTTTGATCGGATAATCAACGAAGATTCATGAGATTTTAATTTTCCTCAGAAGTGAAAAATATGTTCTCTGTTTTCTGGTAATTTGTATTTCCGGTTCCTGGAACCTTTTTTTTTTTTTTT